TCGTCGCTACCAGTACCCACGCCTTGCAAGCAGCAACCGCAGCAACAGAAGCTGATAGATCATACGCCAGAAAGCATCTGTGTAGTGTCAACTGACTCGCCCATAACCCAGCAAACCATAACACCCAGCCGCCTGCTCTGCACAGATAAGCACACGAATAGCCACATAGATAACTGTGAAGACAATCAGATAGATAGCTGTGAAGACAACCAGATAGATAGTTGCGAAGATAACCACGTAGATGAGCCGCAAGAACCCATCAGGGAGATCGAATCGCCACAGACGCTGGGCAGTCCCGAGGACCGCCGCAGCCGGCGTCGCCGCAGCCTACGTGCAGTTACACAAAGAGTCGCTGCTGAAGAGGAATCCAACGCAAGCAGCCAGTCCTCTCCCTCGCCCTCGCTGCTCGTGAGGACACGTAAGGCTGACCAAAACACATTGACGCCCTCCCGCCTTTTCCAATCCTCGCCTTCCCGCTTATTCTCAGGATCGCCATCCTATGACAAAAATAGCCGTAAGCGAAGACGCCAAACCGCTCCTGATTCACTCTGGTCGGGCATCGGCAAGAATGCGATTGATCCCTCGTTGGCCGAAATGGCCAGGGCACTTGGGGAAGACTTGCCGCAGATACCCTTGGCTGTAAAGAGTAAAGGGTCTGCTGTAGAGACAAATGAACATATAGAGGCTGTGAAACAGAAGGGTGAGGATGACAAGAGGGAAAGTAGCAGCAGTAGTGAGGCAGAGGAGCCAATGCCGCTTACCAATGGGCCCACAGTGGGACTAGCAGAAGCCATGCAGCAGCAACAACAGCAACAACAACAAGAGGAAGGGGAGACTTTACAATCGGCATCAGAACAGCTTCTACGAGAGCAAGCAGCGCTGCAAGCGCGACTAGGCACAGTATCGCTGGAGGACCTGAAAAGACCCAGCACCACTACAAAGCAGCAGCTGCAGCAGCGGCGCCGCACCACCAGCCTGGAGCACCTACGCAACACACATACAGCTAATGAGACAGCCGATGAGGCAGAGGCTGAAATAGACGTGACGATGCATCGGGAGCGGCTGCGGCGGCAGCAGGAGCGGCGGCGCCGGCGGCAGACGATTGCAGCGCTGAAGCAGCGGCGGTCGTCATGGCGCGGGTGGGCAGGCACAGAGGGGGCGCTGCTTTCGTCACCACCGCAGTCACCAGACATATCTGAAAGTCACCTGCCGCACTCCCCACTGCCCACGCCAAGCACAGCCGAAACCGCCGTAGAATCTGCGCGCCTTTTGTCTTTCCCACAATCAGCGTCTATGTACCCACCTGCTAATTGGAACTCGCCAGCAGCATCTTTTGAACGTAGCCAGCCTCCGCTTTCCGACTCTGACCGCACAATGCCTCGGCAGCGCCGCTTATCGGAGTTTGAACCTCTATATCCACCGCAGCCCAGGCCTATCGAGCTGGACTGGGAAATTGTTGATATTCAGCAGATTGAGCAGCCTACAAAAGCAGAGGACAACTCGCAGCAGGTTCAGCTGCATGCTGTTCAGCTGGACGAGAAAGAGGCAATTTCCGACTCTGCCGTAAATCCTTCGGGTTCGTCTCATGAGAGCGTTTCTAAAAATACTCTATTGTTTTCTCCACCTCGCACCAGGTCTCGCTCGGCTCATAAGCCCCAAGCAAAGAGCTCCGTAAGGCTGGTCCGCGAGCTGCAGGCTCTGGAGGCTCCGGCTATTCGCGATGATGCTAAAGTCGTTGGCGGCCATGCTTTGCGCAGGCCCAGAGCTACTAGAGAGAAGAAGGGCGCCGAAGAGAAGAGACCTACTGAAGCGAAGAGGCCTGCGAGAGGGAGACCTGCGAAAGAGAAGCCTACTGTGGAGAAGGCTGCTAGAGAGAAGCCATCTAGAGAGAACCCCAAATCCACCCTGAAAGAGAAACGCCTGCCTGCTCGCTCTCGTTCCTCTTCACAGGCTGCAAGCAGTAATAGGAAACGCAAACCCAAACTCTCTGATAATTTATCGGATGTATCCGTCAAACGCGGTAAGAGTAATAATCCTGCATCCCCTCCACTTACGCGCTCGTCAAAACGGACATAAATCCTCGTTGTTAATTTTCTTATGCACAATTATTTATATGCTGCTCCTTTAAAATAGCAGATCTTTCAACTGAAATAGTCATGTATTTGTTTCACTCACAAATAAATGCGATTTTCCTCATACTATTCATAAAGAGGATTTTATTCTAATATGAGATATAAAAATTTTTTTACATACTCTCGCTTCACTTGTAGATCCTCAATTTTTAAAATATACCCCTACCCTTGTTTTTTTTATTTTCTCTTTCGGAATTGCTTCACGCAAATCCGAATGAACAAAATACATATTTAAATACTAACAGGGATCATTCCATTTACTTTTCTTTAAAACAAAACACGCTATTATTTATTTCCCTATTCTTTTCATTATTTAGCATTCACAACAAAATGACAATATCATTTACATACATTAAAGAATCATACTTGTTCAACAAAAGAACATTTGTTTATCCTGGACTAATCGAAACAAGTTCACAAGCAGACGACCTTACACCTATATGGACCATCAAAGTACACGATCGAGAAGCCTCTATTTGTCAGGGGCGCTCAGGCGAATCCGTCATGACCTCCATTATAGAAGGCGCCAACAAAGATCTCGTCCAATTCAAATACAACAACAAACTAACTAACGGCGGCTTCGATGGCACCAAATCTACCTGGGCGTTTATCGATTTCGACGGACAGAGATTTGATTGGATTGCTGGCATGATGCAGGATTGCTGGAAACTAGAGGACTCCAAGGGCACTTTGGTTGCGCAGTTCATGGGCTTGTCGAGGGACTATAAAATCCGTGGCTCGTTGGTTCTTCATGCCAAAGTTTCGGAATCGCAAATTGCTCTCATCCATCTTTCTACTAAAATGCTTAAATATTCGACCTGATCACTTAAACCCCCGGTTGGGTACTCTTACTTTTATGCATTAAATAAGTTATTTCCTCTAGTAATCTTGATTAAATCACTAAGCGGCCCGGCTTTCTCGGATGATTTGGTTTAAGCTTAAGCTGATACATTCCTATATGAGCAATCAAACAATTACGTCATTACTAAATATTTTGTTCTTTTTTTTATATATTGTCGTCTGCTTATTTGCTTCTCTTTTTCTTTGGGTGTGGGAGCTTAAGTTTCCGCTTTTGCGAATAAATCTCTTTTTGTTGTGCTTTACAAAGCGATTTAATTTATTGTGCTTTTTTTTTTCTTTCTTTCATTATTGCTAACCAAAAAAAAAAAAATTGTATATCCCTCTGGTTTTTTTATTTCTTGTTCAGCTGGAGAAAAGATCGCACTATAAAAAGAAAATATTTCTCCTATTTTTTCCTTCCTATCTCATCAAAACAATTCACTTTATTCATCTACAAACTTAAAATGCCATCCCAGCCCCCACCCAAAGGACAATCTACCATTGGAATTACTAAAGTAACTGCTAGTGGATCCAACTCTCGCTAATCGTTGGCAAAGGAAACTATATACTCATGGGGGATATTACTTATACCCTACTACAACTATGACTTATAATGATGCTGGATTATACAGTTTATTATAATGAATGTGCTTATATGGCTTCTCTTTATTCTAGTAAACTATATAGCTTTTACAATCATTAAATAAATCGTTATGCATATCTATATTTTATCAAATGTTTTTAATAACCACTAAGTATTAGCTTGCTTTGCTATATTTGCTTATGTTTATTGAATACAATACAATTCCTATGCTTTATTGATCAAGTAGTTCAATTTATTTTCTAGTTATGTTGGTATCTCATCTTCTAGATGGAAAAATGAAAACCACTTGCTATGACGATGCAACTAGATCAAACTAATGCAGTATGACGTTGCATTGCATCCGTAGGCCAAATCAAGACATCATTCCAGAACTTGCTAGAATTGCAAATGTTACAGGCATATTCGCGACCCTTCCATACACTTGTTATGTATTGCAGATGCGACACATATATAAAGGCCAATGCCTAACTGTTTTTAGGAAGAGGACATCCAGTTCAGTCCCAACGAGTTTCTTTTAAGGTTATTCTCTTACCCTTATATTTGAGTTTTAAGTAATTATTCTATCGAGTACAAGAATAACAGTGCTTCACTTGCAGTAATTTTATGAGTCAAATCTAATATTCTATTCTATAATAAGCTTGTTGACTTGAGTCGGTTATTCTATCTAAAGAAGTAAAAATGCTTTTTTTAATTATCTTAAATCAATACAACTAAATATATATATATATATATATATATAGCTGTTAACTAGACATTCAATTTAAATTTTATTATAGTCAAGCTGTTATAGAAAATATAATACTTCGAAACAAGCTACCCATTTCCACCAAAAAAGGCACTGTGTCTCTATAAACACCAAGTGCCAAGTTATCTATCTCAGATACAACACTACATTATAGAGCTTGTACAAAATCAGCAAAACATGCAATGTTTAATTCTACTTGAAAGATGTAAGTGGCTTTCAGTGAAAATTTCCTTCTATATTAAGTGATAGGTAAATTGTCTTTTTTTTTTTTTTTTTGACTCAACTTGGCTTGTTTTATTTTACTAATCATCTGTTCTACTAAGCAACACCCTAATTTCCTTTAAATTTGCAGTAATTCCTTGATTAGCTGCTATTTATTTAGTTTAAGATAACCTCCATATAGCTTTTCTTTATGCAAATAACCTGTATAGCTTTTCATATGTGTTAAATTAATATTTGCACACACTTCTATTCTATCAAGTAAACTATTTGGTTCAGCTAGCTCCTGTGCTGTTGTACATTAACATATTTGCTTATCTGTTAATTTTATTTAATGTTAGCTTATAGCTTCAAGTATATTTTATGAGCCTGTTCTTTTAGCTAATCCAGGGCTTAAGCTTATAAACTTTTCTCAAACTTGAATCCCAAAACTGTTTTTAAAATCAGATCCAATTGCGATGCTGACGTGGCTCAATGGAAGAGCGTTTGCCTCCTAAGCAAAAGGTTGTGGGTTCGAGTCCCATCTTCAGCTGCTTTTTTTTTTTCTTTTTTCAAAGTGCCTAGAATGGGGGAATCTAGATTTTTTTTCCTCTACTGCATTGCTTTTATTCTTCAGCACGTTGTGTAACATAAACAATAGGAAGAAGGATAACAATGAGCCTTGAATATCCTTTTATTTTTCTTTTTCATCTTTCTATTTTTGGATTCAAGGATGGAACGTGGCAATGCTTATGAAACTCGAGATGTAGATATTACATCAATGAGTCATCCAAGCCACCCATATGCCGGATCGTATAGCGAAGCAACAGGGTATAGCACCGAAGCCAACCGAGTACCATCACGCACCGAGTACATAACGAAAACAACCAAAGTAGAGCCGCTCTACGAGACATCCAAGCACAACAGCAGCTCACACAACGTAATTGGAATGAAATCGATGGACAAATGGAATGCAACCAGATTCCTTACTTACGTATTTACTCGGCTAGCTCAACTGGTCGTGGCCTTGGTATGCATTGGATTTCAAGCAGACTCACGTAACAAAAGGCCAAGTGGTAGCAATGTGGGATTCACCCAAAACAACGTGGAAATAGCCGTTTATGTTATTGGAGGTATAACCGCAGCTACAGCGTTGATTTCACTAATCCTTCATATGTTCCGCAAGACTCGAGAGCGCATTGAGATGTCTAGGCTGGCATGGTTTACAATGTTTTTCAATTTTGCGGTTTTTATCGTTTGGGTGGTTTTGGTGCTGGTTAATGTGGTGGCAGTGGATTGTTCACGCAAGCTAGATGGTTCGTGGTGCCGTAGCTCCAAGGCTAGTTTGGCCACGGGTCTGATATCAGCGCTGTTTTCCTTGGTAGTTACTCTACGTAGTTTGAGTGTGCTTATACGCACCAGTAGAATTCATGTTTAAAATTTAAATATTCAAATATATAGCAGTAACAAAAAAAATAGCATTATCTTTTTACTACTCCTTTTGGAAATAAAAAGAGGGAATGTGCAGCGGATGATGTGCCACAATTTCAAACTCATATCGTTCGGATTAAATGAAGGAATGACTGTATATATAAAAGCCTGATTTGTACTTTGCATTATCGACACATATAAGCGCTATTATTTCTACCAGCAATGGCAAAGCTATATTTAGCATGCTCCTCCTGCTTGTCCACCAGTAACCATACAGAGCCTGAATGGGCCAGTCCGCACTGCTTGGAAACCGACTCCAAGCTACAGTTCCTGTACGGCAGCGATGGTCTACAGCAATGCTCCATAAAGCAAGGAAGCCAGTTCCACCGCCTTTTGTCATCTGCTTCGCTAAACCATAAGCTTCCCCTATGCTGCCGCTTGTCGACCGAGACTGAAACCACGTTGGAATTCCCGCTGCTTGCTTCTACCAAAGGCAACTACAATGCGGTGCTTCACGGGCTTGATAACAGGGTGGTTGGGGCAGCCATATATGCTGTCGGTAGGCCCTTGCCCAACAGCGTACCGGGAGTAACCACAATGCAGTTCAACACCAAATGGTACGAGGGTGCGGGGCTATCCACTTTAATGGCTAACAAGCGGCATCAAGAGGAATTCATCATCTCGCCTATCGTTGCCATTATGTTCTGTATCCTATCTGCCTGTGCTGTTTATGTTATTGGTAGAGTATATGTTGAAAGCTATCTTATTCCTCGATTGCTTAAGAAGCAAGATACAAAGAAAACCAATTAACTATTTTTCTTATAACTTGTTTGGACAGTTTGCTGAATGACTAGCTACTTCTTCAAGAGTATAAAATACATTCAAACAATCTTGGCACAGCCATCCGCCTGTTGACTTTAAGCGAAAACCCAAAGTGATTTTACTGAGTTCCATCTTTAATGAAATGTAATCTCTTTAGATATTTTCTATCAGATAAATAGAAATTGGATAGAAATCAGGTTAGATAGAAGAGATAATCTTTTTGTTGCAAATTATATATAAAAGAAAAAATGGATGAGGAATTTTTTTTAAAAAAAAATGGCAGAGTAGATGCGTTTGATATTTAACCATAAAGCGTCTGAAAAAAAAAACATCCGAAGCCAATTTAAAAAGTCATGCTCCCACTCTCCCTTATTCTTCACACTCACTCATAAAGGTGTTTTATGTTAGTGCTATACATATTTCTCTAAAGTTAATGCTTTATTTTGTTTCATTAATCATGAAAGAATGGGGGTGAGTTGGTTGTTTATTCCAGCATATATTGCTTTTTTTTATGTATGCCACATTTATCATTTGTCTCATTCTAAAATCAAGTTAAAGGAGGGAGGGTGAAATAAAGGCAAGTTTTTTTTACAAAGTTATTAAACAGAATCGTAAAAAAAGCACCACATTCTATTCATCCTAAAATACACGTCAAACTTAGCTCACAAACACATATAGCTCTTTGTTACGTCACGAAATATTTATAACGTCATAAATAAAAGGGGCAAGATAAAGTTGTACATCTGAAAATGAGAAAAGTACTTTCCTATTTCTAATACATCACTCATCTCTAGTTACGTCACTCAACTTTTAGCGTCACCTTGTCCTGAAAAAAGTAGCTTTTTTATTCACAACAATCAAAAAAAGAGAGTTTGTACATATAATGTTGTCAGCTGAATCCGGAAAAAAAAAACTTTTTAGTTCACATGAACATAAAGACAATTAATAATGGAAGCAGCGATGGATAAAGCAAAGCTGCAGAACCGGTGGTACCACCATGCAGAGCTTCAAGCTGTGGATTTTCGATGTATTTGGTGATTGTTTCCACAATTACCTGAGTCTCAGTCACTATCGCTCCACTAATCAAGCTCGCTAGTACTAATAAACAAACAGCAGTTTTAAACATAATTGTATTTTTTAAATAAAAAATTATTAATGACAGGGAGAGAAAGAGAGTAAGAAGTAAAAAAAGAGAACCCTCCTTTTTTTTTTTTAAAAGGAAGTCATTTCCACAACTAATTTGCCCATTGCTTCTACATCCTTTATCACAATAGACTTCTTGGCACCATTCTTGTTCTTTGTATCTTTTGCTGATAAAGCCTTTTCAAGAACCAATTGGTCGCCATTTGCCAAAAGCATCTGCATAGCCGATTGCAGCTCAAAGCAAGGCTCAAAAAGAGATCTCCTTCCAAACACGTATAAGCCCAGCTTCGCACGCGATAAAGCTACAGTGAGTCGGCGGATATCTCGGATATGCCCAATATTACGAGTGCGCACCAAAGACAATAGCACAAAGTCTGCCTGCTGCCCCTGGAACTGGTCCACGGTAGATACCGCTCGGGGCATGCCAAACTGCTCGTATGGCCGGCATCTACGAGCAAGCACGTCGTTTATAAGAGCGCGTTGACCATTGTAGGTGGTCAAAATAGCAACCTGCTCCGAAGAATATCCAACCAGCCGCATGTACTGGTAAACAGCCACCACATACTCGGCTTCGCCCAGATTCTGGTAGAAATAGCGAGAGGGCTCTGATTCGCCTTGTCCCTGGTAATCGGCAACATCGATAAACTGAAGCACATGACCAAAGCCAGGGTTCGGCCGTGCATATGCACCCTGAGTGACCAGCGGCTCCAAGTCACGAAGACAGCGGTAGCGATGGCGATACAGCGAGGCAATCGAGGGCCGGGCACGTGCCTGGCAGTCCAGCTCCACGAACGGCACGCCCAGACGAATAAGACGGGCAAACAGGCTCTGCTCCATCCGCGAAAAGGCCCGCAGCCCGGGGCTTTTCACTACCGGTGGCAGCTGGTTATGGTCACCGATCAGAACCACCCGCTCCAGATCCCGCGACAGTGTCAGCGGAAGCAGCGTCTCGACATCAAGGACCTGTGCTGCCTCTTCCATCACGACCGAGCCAATGCGTACGCCCATCTGCTGCAACTCGCCCAGGCGCATCGCAGCATGCGTACACGTCATTGCTACCACCCGTGCCTGCCGCTTCAGTAGATACAAAGCTCGTTCGCGCGCGCTCTGCAGCAGCTCAAATGGCTGGATCTCCGCCACCTCATCGAAAAGACGCTCCAAGTGCGCAAAGCACGCACGAGCCACCGCCTCTTCATCACAATTCTCGGGAAACAGCGGCTCATTAGAGCCCTTCTGTTCCTGGAAATAACGAGTAAAGGGAAATTCTCGTGCTTTCCGCAAATACGCGTCCCATCGCACGCGCACATGGGCAACGTAAAAGAATCTGGCGCTTTCGCAGGAATCACGGTAGTCGCCGGGCACCTGCAGCGAATCTGCCAGCGTCTGGACTTGTGCCAGCAACTCGCGACGCCGCTCCAAAAACGACTCGATGCGGCCAGCATTAGAGAAGCGTTCTGCGGAATCCAGTGCTTCTTCGCCATGACCCAGCCGCAGCAGATGGCGCGGCTCAATATCCAGCGCCACGATGCGCTCGAATAGCTGGTTCAGCGCCTGGTTGGAATGCGTCAGCAGCAGCACCGTCTGCTGTGGATGCGCATGATACAGATTCGACACAATCTGTGCCGCCACGTCTGTTTTGCCTGTGCCTGGCGGCCCCACCACCAGCGTCAGCCCACGCCGTCCCGCTTCAGCTATTGCTCGCACCTGTGTTGGCGTAAACAGTAGCTTGTTGTGCTTCCGCCGACGCAGCCACGGCAATTGGCTGCTCTGCTGTCCTGCCTGACGCACCTGCACTGTCTCTGCTGTGTCTGCAGGGATCTCAACTTCCACCATCGGAGTCTCCGCCTCCACGTCTTCGGCAACCTCTACTCCTCCATAGTCTCCAAAGCTCTCTTCTATATGCTTGACGCTTACGAATGTGTCTCCCATAAACACCGCGCTTGCTTCATCTCCTTGCCGCACCGCTGCCGGATCGCCATAGCCCAAAACCACGGGAGCCAGCCATTTGGGTAATGCGGGCGGTGCATCCGCCAGCTGGCGCAGCGTCTCCAGCACTGGCTTAAAGCTGCTCCCCTGTGCTTGCCGTCTCAACACCACGTTCAGCCCTCCATACACGTCATCGTTGCCGCTTATATCACGCGCATACTGCGCTGTGTC